AACCCCCTGGCTGGCTCATGCTCTGCTGGTGTTCTTACATAGCCCGGGGCCTGCTGCCCAGGGATGGTGCCGCCCACAATTAACCACGACAGTCCATTGCAGACACGGGTCAATCTGATCCAGGAAATTCTTCAGGTGACGTTCTCTCCTCTCAGGCTGTGTCAAGGGGACAAAAACTAACCGGGACAGAAACTGTACTTGGGTCTCACTAGAGAGTACACAGCTGCCACACACCAGTACTGCTTTCCAGAGACAGAAGCTTCTAGACTGAATTGTATTAAAGGATATTATACCTATCATTTTATGTGGGCTCAAGGTTTATCAAGATTACAGTTCCCATGGGCCTGGGGGTGTGGCTCCGTGGTATGGCATGTGCTAATTATTAGCATGACCAAGGTTCTGGGTTCAATCCTCAGACCCATAAAAGATTACAGTTGCTGTGACATTTATTCCAAAGTGTTTCAACACTGCATAGGATGCCCTTTACTCTGAATAGCTGCTGAAATGGAAGACAACAAAAATGTTCTTTAAATTTAGACCAAAGCAGCCAGGAACGGTGGAGCACACCTGTAATCCCAGCACTTGAGAGATGGACCTAGAAGGATCAGCAGTTCAAGCCTCAGCTACATAGTGAGTTCAAGAGCAGCCTGTGATACAGGAGACCCTGTCTCAAAAAGCAAACAAAAAGGGCTGGGGTTGTTGCATGGTAGAGCACTTGCCTCACATCATTGAGGCCCCAGGTTCAATTCCCAGTACTACCAAAAACAGGAAAACAAGCCCTGGCAGGAAGCTCACACTCCCACATCACCAATGCTAAGCGTCTGGGGACTCAATAGCCATTTGCATTTTTATGACACATTCAGAATAATCCTGGCTTAAATTTGTTTCATTCTGAGAATTTCCATAAATAGTGGGCCCCCGTCATCCCTGAATGCTCTGTCTGTGGATTGATTCGTAATCACAGATGAAAAATTAAAGGAAAAAATTGTGTCTATATTAGTTATACAGACATTTTCCTTGTCAGTATTTCAGAACACAGCATAGCAACTGTTCATATGGTCAGGTACATAGTCTAGAAATCATTTAAGGTACATGGGAGGATGTGCCTAAGTTATCCACAAACATTCCTCCATTTTATAGGGGACTTGAGCATTTGCGACTTTGATGCCCTGGGGCAGAAGCCTTGGTACCAATCACCTATAAAAAGCTATCACCTCTAAACCTAATATAATAGTCCACTCTCATTTTGAAAACAATTTTTAAAGGTAACCTGGGGCTATCCTGAAACTTGCAATGATCCCCTGTGCTCCTGCAGTGCTGGGATTATAGGTATGTGCCGTCACAAGGCATTCACTGTTAAATTTTTGATGACACTTTAACTTTCATACTTTTAAACTTTGTTTCAGTGTAGCTATCAACTGTGCCCTTCGCTAACTCACTGCATGTCCAACCACATCCATTAAAGGCAATGACCTCAACGTTCTTTCAAGGACAGTGTCTTTCACTAGGAACAATCTCTGTATACGTACCACCTCGCCGTGCTTCCGGAGGAGCCCTATATGGTCTCCAGAGGCGTTGGTCCTGTGCTTGTTTGCTTCCACTGAGGCTGTCCTCCTCTGTCACTTATCACAGGCATGGTTTACAGAGATTAAGAACATGGTATCTTAAAGGCTGGTTAGCAGATTCGGAATCTGACTTCTGTCACTTCAAAATCCTGTGTATTGGGGAAATTTGCTCTAGGTTTTTCATGTGGAGCTAATAATGGGACCAGACTAAAGGCCACTTCGAGGATTAAAGACATTGTAAATGACCTTGGGCAATGCCTGGTGCAGACTTGTTACCATGACTACTATTAATAATATCTTCTGCTTGAGCCTCTTTGGAGGTTGACTTTCCTAATTTACTTCTTACTTCCAACCCTGGCATGGTCGTTTGTACTCCCCCTTTCTTCACCCTCTGCAGACTTCCCCAAAACTGCTGCCACCCAAACTGTATCTCTTCTAAACGCAGCTGTCAGTGTTCAGCACCACTAATTTATACGCAATATGGAAAAGCACTGTATTTTACAAACAAAACAGGTGAAACACAACATCCAGTTATTTTAAAACCCATCAAAACTATGAGGCTGGAGAGATGGCTCAGTGGTTAAGAGCATTGGTTGTTCTTGCAGAGGACCCGGACTTGAACCTCAGCACCCACATGGCAGCTAACAACCATCTGCAACTCCAGTTCCAGGGGATCCAACATCCTCTTCTGACCTCTGAAAGCACTGCATGACACAGATGTACTTAATACACATGCAGACAAAGCACTCATAGATGTTTACAACAAAACAAAATAAAACTAACCTCATAAACACCTTCAAAAATACTTTTATTTGTTCTTTGATGATTTCATACAATGACTTCTGATCATATCCACCCCAACTCTCCCCATCCAGTCCCTAAACTGAAAATGTACCCTTGATTCCAAATATAAACTTTATGCCCAAATTTTCTCCTCTTTTCCTTTTATTTTTTTGAGACAGAGTCTCACTATGTAAGTCCTGGCTCATTGGAACTCTCCAAGCAGTCCAGTTGGGCTCTGAACTCACAGAGAGAGTCTCCTGCCTCTGTCTCCCTAATGCTAGGATTCATCTCTCATTTTTGAGGCCATCAGAAAAATGCAATAGGAAAAAAAACAAAGTTCTTAAAGGAAGCCCAATCAAATAAGTTAGATACAAGATGTCTAATATTCAAAATAAGGAAGTATTCCTTACTGAATTCCAAACTACACACCTAGATGGGAATGCAAAAAAAAAAAAAAAAAGTGAATGATGTTTTTTGGACAGTAATATAAGAGAGACTTTGCAACTTTTATTTGAAAACTAGTGATAAGAAAAAAAAAGTTGTCGCTGGGCGTGGTGGTGCACACCTTCAATCTCAGCACTTGGGAGACAGACACAGGTGGATCTCTGTGAGTTCAAGGCCAGCCTGGTTTACACAGTGAGTTCTAGGCCAGCTGGGGCTACGGGGAGATCCTGTCTCAAAAAGAACCCCCCCAAAAAAAAAAGTTTTCAAAGTAAAATTATCAATAAAAACAGATTTTCACCTTTCAAATTTTTAATATTTGAATTAAATTTCATATGTAAAACAGATTATGAGACCACACAAGCATATTCCTATTATAGGAACTTAAAATGAAGACTTAAGGATTAATTCTTCCTCAGTAAGTTTTTGATGAAGCTCAATCCCAAATTCTGCCTTGTTCTTAATTTTCAGCCATTATTTACTTATGTATATTGAGATAAGGTCTTACTATATAACCTCTGGCTGGCTTGAAACTCATTGTGTAAACAAGGCTGACCTCGAATACACAGAGATCCACCTGCATCTGCTTCCTAAAGGTATGTGTCACCACTAGGGGCTAAAATCTGTTTTGATCCACCCAAAGCTGAGCTAGGGAAGGGCGGAAGCATACCCACCCCCACTGTCCCATCTCACCTCTGAAAACACGCCTATTCCTGCCTCTCTGCCTCCAATGGCCCCAGCCGCCCGACCCTCAACAATCCTCTTCCATAGGCTGCTGCTAGAAACTCATTACTGCTGCAATCTATCATGGGTTTTCCGACTAGGGAAGATGGACAGGCTGTGTACAAGAAAGCCAGTGAGATATACCAGAGCTGTCACATCCAGAAGCCACTATATCCCCTGCCAGGGCACCCTGCAGGAGTGTAAAGGGGCAGGCAGGGGTCATCAGAAACCCAGCCCAGAAGAAGGAACACATTGTCCTATGTGTACCAAAGTACTAATGAGGTATCTGTGACCTTGGTCCCACCTAACAAAGGAGAAAGGGACCTGAGAGTATTTGGTTAAGGAAAGTATGAGCTTTTGCTTAGTACTTAGTCTAATGAAGTTTTATATGTATGGCATGATTTCCCTTAATATCTTCCCTCTATCATAAGAGGCAGCTCATTGCTTCTGATAATACAGGTAAGAAAAACTGCAGTCAAGTAAACAGCCAAATAATTCAATCTTCAGGCTCAGTTTTTTTTTTTTAAAAAGTGCAGATGTGTTTAATGACACATGCTAGATCTAGAAGGGGGCTCTCTGGGGTTCACAATATACTGCCCCAAGGTGCTTTCAGGGTCACACAAGCATCTGCTTTAAATGAGGTTACAGGTATGGTGTTATGCTGGACAAGAGGATGGAAAGTTTGAGGCCAGCTTCCCTCTATCAATCAATTAGACCCTGACTCAAAAACAAAACAACAACAATAACAAAAAAAAAAACGGGAAAAAAAAAAGAAAGGTTAAGAACACTACAGCTGGAGTCTAACACTTCAATGACTTAAATCTGTTTGTTCTTTTTCCTCTTTACGGAGACCAAAAAGGGAAAAAGGAAAAAAAGAAACTTCCAACAAGATGACAAGATGTGGTAATTTCAACCCAAAGATCCCAGACAGAAGAAAGCGGCAAGAAAACACAAGCCTGTTCATCAGGCGGAGGCTACATAGTAAGTTCAAGATCAGCCGAGGCTGCGTGAGACCTACCTTAGAAAATGTTAAGGGGGGGGGGAGCACATGGCAAGATGGTTTAACAAATAAAGGCACTTGCTGCCAAGCCTGACAATCTGAGTTTGATTTGAGGGTTTCACAAGGTGGAAGCAGAGAACTGACTCCCCAAAATTGTCTGACTGCCAGACATGCACCACAGCATGCACAGACACACAATAAATAAAATCAAATAAACATGATTTTAAAACACCAAACAAACCCCACAACCACAGCATGATTAACAAAATTGGAAACCTGAGACACCCTCCCCTTCAGAACCAGAGCTCTTATGACTGCTGCTTTCCATGACTAGTGTTATGGCTAACAACTCACCAAAGCCGGCATTCCACACATTACTTTGAAATGTCTCCAATGACACTGGGTAGAACATTGCCATCACTCCCGCTCCAGTTTCCCTAGAAGAACAGGTTTCCAAAGAGCATGGCTGTGGCCAGCGTGGCACTCACCTGAGGCCGAGTTCATCAGGGTCTGCGGCACTGCTGGACTGCTGGACGTGGGGACATTCAGCTGCGAGAGCATGGCCTTCCGGGGGTCCTGCCATGTTGTGGTCTGATCGATGTGACTGAGACAGAGTAAGGCAACACATTAGGGGAGCGTCACCATCCTAGGAACAACATCCCTTATCAGAGAAGGTGCTGGGCACTCTGGACAAGCAGAGCACCTTCCCTCAGTGCCTTGCTCCAGCACCAGACATTCCTCACCCAAAACCAGTCCACAGATTTTTTACCCTGAGATCCTGAGTGCAAGACCCGGAGAGATGACAGCACTCGGGAGGCAGAAGCTGGCGGGTCTCTGTGAGATTGAGGCCAGACTAGGATTTGCTTCTGATTCAAAGATAAAGAAATGTCTCAAGCATCTGAAATAGCAGTCTGAGTAAAATCCAACATTTGCAAGACAAATGCCTTTTCTCTTAAAGCTAAAAATAACAGATTAAAAAACAAAACAAAACAAAACAAAACAAAACAAAAAAAACAGGGACTCCTGGAGCCCCAGCTGGCCTAAACTCACTATATAGACCACGGTGGCCTAGAACTCACAGAGATCTGCTTCCCTTGCCCGGCTACAACAGCAGATTTTTAGGAAACACAAACCCAGAATCCATTTTTAAAATGAATACTTCAAAGCCAAAACACAATCTAAAATTTCTACTCCAAGTTTTCATGTTCTCCTGACTGGAAAACAGGGTTTCTACCACACCATCTTCTAGGCTTTAATGAATATTCTCCACATTGACAACTTACCTGAGGTATTTGTATGTGTACAAATTACTTTACCCATAAAACTGGGGATGGAAATAGGGCAAGAATCTATGAAAAACTACAAGGCATCTAAGCACAGTGCCTGGTAATGAGTGGTCAATGCACACCGCTTTATTTTCCAGCAAAGTCTCACTGTTTTCACAAAACAAAAACTAAAAATACCATTACCCAAATGAAACTATCCTGAAATAACAGCCATAAAGGTACTCAAAGATGTGAAAGCCAGCTACTACCCAGTGATAGAGGAGTGGTTAAACAAAGTTTCAGACAACACAAGAATATACTTATTAAAATGAGAAAGATTTGTAATAGCTTTTCTTTTTAACATTTTCAAAATAACCCCAAATTATTTTTATTGCTGAAGTTTCCACCTGATTCCTCTTCAGTCATCCCATAATCTCTGTGTAGCTGGCAAAGCAGGAACAACGTCCTGTGTCAACAAGACAGGATGTAGTATCACCTAGAAGATGAATCTGTGGGCCGTTCTGTGAGGGAGTTTCAAGAAGAGCTTACTTGAGTTGGGAAGACCTATAAACATGGGCAGTGTCATGCCATGGGCCGGGATCCTGGACTGAGTCAAAAGGAGAAAGCAAGTGAACTCTCACATGCATTTCTCTCTCCTTCCTAATCGTGGGTGCAACATGACCAGATGCTGCTCAAGCTCCTGGGGCCTTCTTGTTGCCATGCAGTGTAACCTCAAACTTTGAGAGAAAATAAACCTTTCCTTCCTGCCTTCAAGTTTCTTTTGTGTGGTATTTTGTCACAAAGAGAAAAGTAACCAACACACTGCCGTTATCACAAAATGAACTAGAATGCTGTCTCCTTAGAAGCATTAACGCAGCAAGACAAGGTCACAGCTATGGCTAGAAAGGACCTCAGTGCTCTGCCTGCAGGGATGGGGGTGGGGGAGTTTAGTTCACCACCAAGCAGAGAGGATGAAAACAGGAGACTTTATGCACTTAGTAAGGGCAAGGGTACCTGTCACTAAAGGGCCACTGCAGACCAACTACCAATGTTAAGAGAAAACATACATTTCTTTGATGGAGCACATACTTTCTTTTTGATTAGCCCCTTTTCTTTCAGGACTCTGATCTGCTCTGTACCAGCAACAGCAGGTTTAGACCAGAGGGTAGGACTTGGTCAAAGTTTTGCTTTCTAACTGACTTATTAGGAAAATCAAGCCTCCATCAGGCTCAGAATTGACCCTTTTCCTTTTCAATTCTGTACATAAGGATCTACCCTCGAACCAACAGATTAATCTTAACAAATTGTAGGTCTTTTCCCCCCTTAAAATTTTTTTGTTGCTGTTATGTGGTGCTGAGGATGCATCCCAGTGTACACTCAAGCGGCCCACCATTCAGCTGTACCTGCAGCGTCCCCACTACCCCAGATAAATGACACACCCCCAATCTTAGGACTCACTCCAACCTTAGGAGAGACTCACTCCAACCTTAGGAGAGACTCACAATGGTACATGCCCTCCTCGCTGTGGAACTCTGCTGCTGCACACACTTCAGGTGGCTGTGATGTCCTTGTGTTTCCCCAGCAATTTCAGGATAGTGACAAGAATGTCATCATCGAACCTCTGCCTGCTGGCCTCAGGTACATCTCAGGACTTACATCTTACAGGTACATACTGAGCCGCACTTCCTAAGGGCACAGCTCCTCCTCGGATACTGTGTGCCCAGCTGCTCCACAGTGCCTCATTTCTACCTAACCTTTTGAAGACCAAGGTGCCTCCCTGTAGAAAGTTCCTTTGAGAAAGCCAGGCTGTCATACATTAAAACCCCAGCTATGGGGATCAGGGAGATGAGTCAGCGGGTAAAGTGCTTGCACAGCAAGTATGAGGTGCTGAGTTCAGATCCCAAGCACCCATGTAAAACAGCGAGTGTCCGTGATCCCAGAGCTTGGGGGGAGGAGGCAGAAGAGAAGACAGAAATAGGTGGACCCCAGGAGCTCACTGGTCAGATAGTCTAGCCAACCAATGAGATCCTGGCTCAGTATTCCCAAAAAATTCCGGCCCCAAATACATCCTGTGTAAAAAAAAAAAAAAAAAAAAAAAAAAAAAAAAAACAGATTAAAAACAATAGAAATAATCCAGCGCCAACCTCTGGCCTCCGTATGCATGCACCTGCACTCATGCATATGCAGATACACAAACACACACTCACAAACACACTATACACACATACAAAAATTAAAAGGAAAAAGTAGCCCAGCTATGCCAAAAAGTCTGGATCACGTTGCCAAGTTTTAGGAACCCGCTTTGTCCTCCCAAAGGGAGAAGGCTGATTTACTTACTTCCCAGGGTTATGAGGATTAAATTCAGTACCATACTTAAAGCAACTAGGGGTGTGGCTCCTACAAAAGGCCCTTGAATATTTTCCCTGATCCATTCTTTTGCTGGCCTAATACTTAAAATAGCAAAAATTTTAGGGCAGATGGGCCACAGAGGTAACTAAGAATGATGCAGGAGGAGTAGGAGATGGCTCAGCATTTGGGAGTAGGTACTGCTCCCCCAGAAGACCCAAGTTCAAGTTCAGTTCCTAGCACCACATCTGGTGGCTTACAACTCCCTATAACTTCAGCTCCAAAGGATCCAACGTCCTCTTCTGGTCTCTGAGGGCACTTGTACCCACGTGCACATACACATGCATACATAATGAAAAAGAAAATAAATACGGTAGGAATTCAGTCACTGTAGGGCAGCAGGTATAAGGGCATTCAGACCCTGGTTTTCACCTGTTAGGTGATAGAAAGATTCAATGGGTAGACACCAAAGGTTCTCAGTAAGGAACAGAAACGATAAAAATATTTCTGGACCATTAATTTACCCTATACCAAGCTACTAGCTTAGAAATAAGAATGATCTAGAAAAGAAATCAAGCAAATATAGACACGCTGGATCCTCAAAGAACAGCGGAATTATCTGAGAATAAGAGAAGTATTAACTGTGGGAACTGTGGGGCAGAGACTTCTTTTTTAAGACCTAAGAGGATCAACTCAGGAATCAAGGCAAAGAATAAGCAAGGAGAGCCACAGCCCAGGCCAGTATCCTAACACATTCTTCAAATTCTAGGTTGTAAGGCTGTGAGATGTTCAGCAGGTAAGGCACTTGCCTGGCAATCCGACTCCACAAAGTTGCCCTCTGACCTCTACATGTGCACCATGATACTGGTGCACACAGACAGACATCATGCACACAGACACATACATAATGATTAAAAAGAAAAAATTCTTGGTTGTACATTTAATTGTCAAACACTTAATAGATAACTCTTATTTATGAAGTGCTGAGCACACAATGGGGTTTACAGTAATAAAAATTTAAAAAGAAAATCTGGGCTGGAGAGGTGGCTCAGTGGTTAAGAGCACTGACTGCTCTTGCAGAGGACCCGGGTTCCATTCCTAGCACCCACATGGTGGCTACAAACCATCCTTAACTCCGGTTCCAGGGGAATCCAAAGCCTTCTTCTGACCTCCTCAGCATTGCACGACATGGGTGCACTCACATACGTGCAGGCAATACATTCATACACATAAAATAAAAATAATAATACATAAAATATTTTTAAAAATAAAAAAATTTACAGCCAAT